TAAAGTTTCGTGCATTAACCCGTAAAAACTAGTTTTATAAAATAAACTAATAACGAATAACACCGCTGACCTGCTTGATGTTTGTCAATTGAAAATGTCCCGGAATTGATAAGCCAGCACCTGGCCCTACCAATAACGCACCTAAGATTAAGTGCCTGTGTATTTTGGTTTATTATCTGAACATTACAACGGCTCTAGGAGCTTGATGGCGCAAGTGGAAACCGCGTTCGGCTGCGATCGTTGAAGTTAAGCAACTTTCGCAGTGGTCGGTCATTGGATAGGTGACCAAAAATGTACTATCTCAAGCTCCTTCGTGCTTCGGAAGGCACGTTAGTCCCGGCTGCATTTGCAGTCGTTGGCATCCACCAATACGCACTGGGCCCGCGTGTTGGTTCATGGCTCAAACTCCCTATTCCATCCATAGGGAAGGCCTGTGCCCCAGCAGTGGGGCATTATTAGGCTGATGATGATTACAACGGCTGGTCAGTCAGTGACTGAAAACTGTGATACCTCACAATCGTATCTCTTAACGAGGGCTTAAAGAGTCATTAGGAATGGCCAGGCATAGTACTGTAGGCATCTTATCTACCTACAGGACTTTGACATAGCTGAGAAACTAATTGTTAATTATTACAGAAAAGCCGGGGAGGAAAACATCAAAATATTTTATTTTTTATATTAACTTTTTTGCTTGAAAAGTCATGACCGTACACATGCATATATAATACTTTAACGAAACAAACGTTGATCTAAAAAAGTACTTTAATTTTTTGTAAACGGTGTTTAACACAGCTCAGAGAATTTTTCACACAAGGTTTTTAAGTATGACACAAACCCTAGAACGAAATCTATGATTTATATAGTAAAGCGAAGCGACGACGATGAGTCACTTCATTGAAAACATGTTAAATTAAACCTCATCAAAAGTGGACATAGACTCTAGTTATGTTTTCATAATGGAATAACTTGATGTGTTGGATGAAATACACTCGGCGTCAAAAAAATCGCACCTCCGCGATAATAACTCTCAAGCGTTATTAACCCTTAACATTTTCATGTACCCTTACCAATATTGATGTCATATTAAAGCCCATTAAAAAACAACAATTCATTTTTTTATATTGGAACAGTGCAAAAATCAATAAAGTTTAGAAAACAATTAAAATCCTTAATTAAGCCTTAATTAAAAAGAGATTAATTACACAAACAAAATTCAAAAAGGTTCTTAGATCTAACCTAAAACCTAGTATTACCCCCCCTTGCCTGGATGACGGCTTCCATACGCTCCTTCATGGATCTTAACGATTTTAAGAGCTCTTCTTGAGAGATACTGGCCCATTCCTCATTAACGGAAGTATGACACTAATATTGGTGGGGATGATGCGTGTGTTAAGGGTTTTAATAACGCTTGAAAGTTATTTCCGCGGAGGTGCGATTTTTTTGACGCCGAGTGTATTTATTTTTGAAGTTATACTTCTTTAGGCGCGTTATGAAAAAATGATGAGAGTGAAATTTTTAGATGCGCGCGCATCACTGTAACCCAAAAGTAACAGCATGAAGTTGGCCGCGGGCGCGTTATGAAAAAATCATGTGAGTGACTTTTCGAGATGCGCGCGCATCACTGTAACACAATAGTAACACCATGATTAGTGGTTAATAATCCACCATTATTAGACATCTGTTCGATAGGTACTTTGAACGATCCACGGAGCTCCATAAGATGATCGCGTTGTCAAAAACAATGTTGGCACGCTCGTCGCCTCTGATCACTGTTTTCGTATTTATAATATTTATCCACATGTTTCTAGTTTCTATATAGACACAACGTGTTTTAGTTACTTACAAGTGCTAATTACATATGGACTAATAACTTAAATTCAGTAGTGATTTTAATTGAATATTTTGAATATTTATTTAATTTTTCAAATTAAAACTGAACTTTATTGACTGTGTTAACTATCCTTTTCCAGTCCTTTTATTATTTTATTGTAATTATTAATTATTTGCATGCAATTAAAAAATATTTTTAATGATGCTTAAGAAGTATAACTTCTCACGCGCGTACATAAGTTACACGCATCCATTTTTTTATTTATTTCCTTATTGTGAGTTATTGTATAGTATCTATCGCTATTCATCCGAAAAAGGCAGTAAGTAGGCTTGTTTGATTTCTTGATTTACTCGTAACCTTCGATAAGTTAATATTATGTTTACTCGACTTCGTGCAATAGACAGAACCAGTAACTTACAAATGCTTATCCATCTGTGTGAATTTATAAAAACACCTTTATACATATTTGCGTTAGGCATTTTTGTCGCTTAAAATTATTCATTTTTTACATGAATATTTTTGTAAACTGTTTTGAGAGCCATATAAAATATATGATTTTTAAGGTACCCAATGCGTGAGTGACAAAGGAACCCTTTTAACTTTACTCTGCTGTTATCAAAGAGATGTCTATCACTTTAATGGAAATTCATAGGAAACTGAAATTTTTACAGAATGCGTGTTACCGTAGCCACATCACAACAGATAGATAGGGATGTCGAAAGTAGAAAAAAATATCGATATATCGATACATCGATATTTTAAAAAATATCAATATCGGCTTCGATATATCGCGAAAAAAACATCGATATATCGATATATCGGACCAATTTTCCCAAAAATATATTTAGATCCGCCTAGCACAGTAATAATAACAATACAAATTATAATTAAAGAAAGAATTATCAAAGTACCAAATTGCCGTTACACTACATGACAGTACAGTATCTCACGAAAGATGACACGTGGAATAATAATGGAACGAAAATTATCTACCTAAAATAGACCCTATTTTCGAATGATGAAAATGATTGCAGGACTTCTCAGGTGCCATCTTTCGTAAACAAGACTAGACAGTCGCACATTTCTACAGAATATAATGGAATTCAGCACAACCAATTCACCAGCGAAACAGATTTACAAATCATAGACCGTACTAAATACAGCACAGATCATAGATAAGTTGAATATCTTTATCTATCTGGGATCCAGTTTTCCAGATACGAATTAAGTTGGATCGTGATATGCCGCTAATATTTAAAAAAATATCGATTTTGATACGAATTTCGATATTGGTTATTTTGTATCGATGTATCGATATATCGAATCAAAATATATCGGCTAAAAATATCGATATATCGAACAAAAAATATCGATATATCGATACATCGATATATTTTCAACAAGCCTACAGATAGAGTCTGTGCGGAAAGAGAATGGGATTTAGATTGGATGACGCTGTAGTGCTTTGCTACCGTATTTGTAAGGTTTTACCCCTTTTAGACATGATTAAATACAAAAAACCGCAAGAAATCACAACAACAAACAAATCCGTATCAATATAAAACTTTGACGATTTACAGATTACTGGGTTTGATTGCCAAACAAAAATCTTAATGTTAGTGCCGTTTTTCGCCACGCCTATTCTGTTTCTGCACAGACTCTAGTTAAAATAAAATAAAGCCGGTCTCCATAAATGAAAGGTTTTTTTTATTGTTTTGCTTGATCTCGTTTCAAATGTGCACTAAATATTGTTACGTGTCGGGATGGGATTCGAAATTATATGCCAGTTCACGTTTGACAGTACTTTATTCACTACACGGTTAACACACAATCTTAATCACAATATACTCACTAAACACTGTACTTCACTATACAACAAGTCTTTAAATAATCGCACTTGAACACTTGCACTTTAAATGCCTTTGTATTCGTTCCGAAATCGCTGTTGAAACTCAACTGTGTCTGCGCGTTTTGTTTTGTTACCTTCCAGGAGGGGGAGCGGGTGTGAAATCCTCATGGATACCCTGCAGCCGGCTGCAAGGTTATGTCAGACTCATACTGACTAAAACACACCCGTACTTCATGCTTATGGCCGGGAGGGCCTTACAAGCTTCATCTAAAGCGATCATCCCCTGAGCCTATACGCTTATATAAGCCAATCGACGCATTCTAGAAAAGCCCCGTTAAATTGAGAGTTGACTAGTACCCGCGAGTGCGTAGTAACGCGCATAAGTTGTAAACAAGGGCAGATGTCGTTGCACTTACGCTGTTCTGCATAAGGCTTATATTAGAATGAGCCGCACCACTTAACATTTATCTTGAACTGCGGTGTTCTAGTAAATTCTGTCTCTAGTATTTTCGCGGTTTTGTTTCGAGACCGTTTGTGAAAATATGTTCAGGGAATGGTGTAGGTGTTGATTGACGAAAATATCATACAACATTTTCTTAAATATGGTACAGAACTCTTTGCGAATCCGATTCGAAGTTGACCAGTCTTTCATTATTCAATTCAATAGCTGTAAAGCATTTTTTGCCCATACACGTGTGACACTATCTTATATCATAAGGCGCTTATAAAATCATCACCGATTTGATGAGTGAAGGTTATCTCAGACATCTTCATAGAAATGGATGTTAAATTATTATTTTGGTAAATAAGTACTTGCTTATTTACTCTGTAGGAATAAATAAATAGTGTCATCTATCATCATCATTGTTAACAATATTTTTTAAATATATTTTATACGTTAAGTGAAAATTGTACGAACTTCACTTAGTCCTTTATAAACATATTCCAGACGGAACACTGTAATTTTTGTATAAATAAGCAGAAAGGGAATATTGTTATATAATAATGCTTTAGAAATACATTTAATTAATTTAAAACAACAGTAACCCTAAGGCGGGCAACATTTAGGTGATGAATGACTTCTAGGTCAAAATTATCGCGAGCTGTAGGAAAGGACGAAAGTCCCCTACAGCTCGCGATAATTTTGTATCATCATCATCAACCCATGCTCGTCCACTGCTGGACATAGCTCTCCCCTAATGCACGCCACTGCTCCCGATTTTGTGCTACTCTCATCCAGCTTATCTCTTGATAATTTTGTATAGTCGAATTTATTTGACCTCTTTACTAAATATTACTATTTTATTGTGATGTCTCCAGATCCGCAGTCACCAGCGCACGCCGTCCGGCTCGCGTGACTTCAAGGAGGCCACCAAGCGCGATGCCCTCGCCCGCCTCGAGGTGGAGCTGGAGCGACTGGTCACCACCCTGCCGGAGACCAGGAAGCCGCTCGTGCAGCAGGAGTTCAGGGGCTTCAAGAACTTGTTTAGCAGATTCTTGGCAGAACGTGAGTCAACTATCTATATTTAGCTCCAGGCTTCTAGGACTTTATGGAGGTTACCAAGAATGCCCTCGCCCGCCTCGACGTGGAGCTGGAGCGACTGGTCACCACCCTGCCGGAGACCAGGAAGCCGCTCGTGCAGCAGGAGTTCAGGGGCTTCAAGAACTTGTTTAGCAGATTCTTGGCAGAATGTGAGTAAACTGTCTATTTTTAGCGTCAGGCTTCTAGGACTTTATGGAGATTGCCAAGAATGCCCTTGCCTGCCTCAAGGTGGAGCTGGAGCGGCTGGTCACCACCCTGCCGCAGACCAGGAAGCCGCTTGTGCAGCAGGAGTTCAGGGGCTTGAAGAACTTGTTTAGCAGATTCTTGGCAGAATGTGAGTAAACTGTCTATTTTTAGCGTCAGGCTTCTAGGACTTTATGGAGATTACCAAGAATGCCCTTGCCTGTCTCGAGGTGGAGCTGGAGCGGCTGGTTATCACCCTGTTCGAGACCAAGAAGCCGCTCGTGCAGCAGGAGTTCAGGGGCTTCAAGAACTTGTTTAGCAGATTCTTGGCAGAATGTGAGTAAACTGTCTATTTTTAGCGTCAGGCTTCTAGGACTTTATGAAGGTTACCAAGAATGCCCTCGCCTGTCTTGACGTGGAGCTGGATCGGCTGGTCACCACCCTGCCGGAGACCAGGAAGCCGCTCGTGCAGCAGGAGTTCAGGGGCTAAAAGAACTTGTTCAGCGGATTGTTGGCAGAACGTGAAGTAAACAATTTATGGATTATCTAAAACAAGTTAGTTGTTGAATACATGTTTAAGAAGAGAAAGTCTTGCATTTTTTAGAACGTTGTGTAACATTTTGTGGTGCGAGCGTATGGTAAACGAAAAGGAAACAATTTTTTTTCATATTGTTTAGGGACTGGGATACAATCCTATTTCCATATCATCAGTAGTTACGTCTTTATGTACTTACTTGCGATCAGAGAATACGTATTTGTTTTTAACTTAATTTATCATAACGTACGTTTCAGTCTTGAATTGGTTTATATTTAAAGCGTTAAGTCGTAATGTTGTTACATCTCTTATCTATTAGACAAGTCCATCCGTCCGTCTGTCTGTGGTGCTGTTTCAGCGGCCAAACCGTAAGAGATAGATAAAGAGAATATTTAAGTTATAAGTTAAGAATAGTCTGATAAGACTACAAACCGGATTTGAGTAACGTAGCACTTCCGGTTTTCGAGAAATCACGTGAATTCTATATTGTAATTATCACAATTTTAATTAACTATTTAAAGGTTACATTTTTTTTAACTAAATAATTTCAAACGATACCACACAAAATCTCCGAAGTTCTCAATTAATTAAATACATTTTTTAAATCAGGTTTTGGTGAACATGTGGTTCACTGGTTTGCTAGTTTATGTATAATTTTGAAGTGTTCTGAAAAATGCAGGATTATTTTCTGCAAATGCTCCAAATGAGGCGGAGAAGTCACTGCACTCTATGGTAATTTAATGGTGTCGATTCTGGCAGGCTTTTCTCAACCTAAACTTAAAATTCGATACAGAATGAAAAGGTCAGACTAATGTTAAATGTAGTTTTAAGTCTAAACTTATAATTCTCTAAAGAATTATGCCAGAATCGACACCATTAGTAATTTAATAATAAAACAGCGGCCGATTTTTCCAATAGTCTAAATAAGCCGTTTTTTATAGATTAACTAGCTGACCCAGCGAATTTCGTACCGCCATAAAAATAGGGGCAGGTGGTAGAAGAGAAAATTTAGGGTTGTATGTATTTTTTAAAACCACATTATACAAAGATAAATATTGTCCAAAAAAATTTTAGGGGTGTGCAACGTAGTGTTCTATCAATTTCCTGGGATAACATTCCCCCTAACCCATATGAGAGCACTACGTTACAATACCCAATAGTTTGAATTTTGGCGTGAAGGCGCATTGTAGGTTTCAGAACACTACGTTACAGGTGGACAACTATTATCAGTTAAGGATATGAAAAATAGATAGTAGCCGATTGTCAGACCCACGGAATATGCATATAAAATTTCATAAAAATCGGTCAGGCCGTTTCGGAGGAGTACGGTAACTAACATTGTGACACGAAATTTTTTTATATATAAGATTAGCAATGGTATTCTCATAATGTATCGAATGTTATTAAAAGCTAACGAAGGGAACGAAAACTGGTTCTGCTACTTACAATGAAAAATTAGACGTAATAATAAGAAGAACGATACGATACGATACAACACGAACGAGACAAGATAAGATTATCATTATCAGTGTATAAAACCCCCATTGATGGGGGACATGAACGTCTGATGTAGCAGGAGTAGGAGATTGGTTTCATACAGGAAGGTTGAGGATTGTTGCAGCTAGGGTTATCCGTCCGAATTTGTCCGGACTTTGTCCGGCTTCTCAATTTGTAAAGATATTTTTAATTAAATGGAATATGAGTAAAACTACTTATTAAGTTATATCAAATAAGTCATCATATCAGCCGTATGACGCCCACTGCTGGACATAGGCCTCCCCCAAGGATCTCCACAACGATCGGTCCTGCGCTGCCCGCATCCAGCGTTTTCCCGCGACCTTCACCAGATCGTCGGTCCACCTTGTAGCGGGTCTTCCCACTGAGCGTCGTCCGGCACGCGGTCGCCATTCGAGAACCTTTCGGCCCCAACGGCCATCGGTTCTCCTCGCTATGTGTCCCGCCCACTGCCACTTCAGCTGGGCTATTCTTCGAGCTATGTCGGTGACTTTAGTTCTCCTACGGATCTCGTCATTTCTGACTCGATCACGCAGGGAAACACCAAGCATAGCTCTCTCCATTGCCCGCTGGGCGAAATAAGTCAAGTAATCTTTATTAACCAATTTTGATATGGCGATAGTGGCGCCCCCCTGAACTCACATTGTTGTTGCTTTGTTGTTGTTGTTTTTATTGTTATGTTTATTTTATTACTTGTTAATGTTGTTGTTTCGTGACGTCACTGAACCGGTTCCAACGGAAGACCAGCGCTGATGGCAACATCGGCACATGCTGAGTTGGGACCGATTTGAGACTAAAAAAAAATGGTTGCCTGTAAAGTCGGTTTTACGGGCGAAGATTTTACGTGACAACGTCTTTTTCTCGGTAGAATATTAATTGATATGAATATAATTAAATTGCACAATAGGAACAAGGAATTGAATGAAAATAAGAATTGCACAAATTTTAACTATAGAAATATATTTTGTTTACTAAAACATTGTACATGTAAACTTAAACTTAACACGAGAGACTCATCGTAACGTTACCGAGCGTTACACTTTTTCATAAGTGACTCCCAGCCGCAACCTAATTTAAGACGTTGTCACGTCAAAAGATATTTGGGTTTTGTTTATATATTATATATTTTTATTTACTGTTTTGTCTCAAATAAATTAATTTTTCTTTCTTTCTTTCTATTAAGTTCTCATTAATTTAAAACAAAATATAAATCATCTAGAAAAATCAACAACGAGACACCCCTCGCGTTGCGAGCGTCTGCTACCACGCGTATAATATCACTGTAACTAAGTGGGTGATGTTTGCATTTTGTGACCAAAATGTCCGGACTTCTATCGAAATGTCCGGCTTTCTGTCAGGACTTTTCAAATTTTTAAATTGTAACCCTAGTTGCAGCTGAAATCTTTTCTGCCGAATTAGCTATCTTTTAAATTTATTAAGTTTTGTTTAAAAATTTTATTTAAATTATAACCATACCAACATTATCTATAATCATAATCAAAATCATTTATTCATTTTAGGCTATTACAAGCACATATGAATGTCTAGAAGCTACGCCATCGGTTCGTTAATCTACGGCGGGAGACCTTGTACTGAGAAGAACCGGCAAGAAACTCAGTTTTTTCTCCCTGATTGCTGTGTCACACAGTATATAAATACAAATAGAGTTGTTTATAATAGGTGTAATTAAACATTTACATCTTAAATATCAAAGTAGTTAGGGCAGACTCATCTCCGCTGGCAGCACCTGATCACGAGCATGACGCATGAACCAGCCATTGCTTCGGCATAGACTGACAATAAATATTATATCGTGGGATTTAACATGCCAAAGGTAGAGATATATGTAGATAATGCTGATATAGGTTGTATAAGACTCTTGCCATTAACATTGATTACATAATGTTTAGAGATAAGATTATATTATGTTAAAGCAAATAACGTATTTAGGACTAAGTTGTGTGAGCGTTCGTTGTTACTGTATCATCATCATCAGCCTATTAATGTCCCCACTGCTGGGGCACAGGCCTTCCCGGTGGATGGAATAGGGAGATTGGGCCATGACCCACCACGCGGGCCCAGTGCGGATTGGTGGGTGCTAACGACTGCAGATGCAGCCGGGACCAACGGCTTAACGTGCCTTCCGAAGCACGGAGGAGCTCGAGATAGTAAGTTTTGGTCACCCATCCAATGACCGACCACTGCGAAAGTTGCTTAGTTCAACGATCGCAGACGAACGCGCCAACTACTTGCGCCATCGAGCTCCACTGTTACTGTATATGTAGTCGTTTAATCACCTGTAGCTGTTTCACTGCGCGATGCCAACTTCTTCTATTAAATACTTTATGCCGTTTAAAATGTATAACAAAGGCCTTCTTTGTAAGGCCTTGTTTTAAAAAAAAATAAGTACTGTAATAAATATCAGCAAATGCCGCTGTCTACATTCACTTTGGCACGTGCGTCGAGCTCCTTAACACTTGTTTTACGATTATCGCAAATTCTTAGAAAAATACCTATTGTTCTACGCGTTTTCTGTCGGTCTTTGAGACTAGTGGTAGGTGTTTAAGAGCTAAGGATAATGTAGATTTCTCTGTCTATCCGAGGAATAAAACAGTCGAAATAAAGAATTAGTAAATTTCTGGTCACCCATCTATATCTTTATATATATAATTCTTCTGTGAGTGTGTATGTCACTGAACTTCTCTTAAACGACTGGACCGATTTTGATGAAATTTTTTGTGTGTGTTCAAGGGGATCTGAGAATGGTTTAGATTCACAATTTTGTCCGCTGGACAACCCCTATTTTTTTTAGGGCGGTACGAAGTTCGCTGGGTCAGCTAGTATATGTATAAAACTCAAAGGTGACTGACTGACTTAGTGATCTATCAACGCACAGCCCAAACCACTGGACGGATCGGGCTGAAATTTGGCATGCAGGTAGATGTTAAGACGTAGGCAAGGAATTTGATCAATTCTACCCCTAAGGGGATAAAATAGGGAATGAAAGTTTGTATGAAACTTTGTCAATTTTAAACCGATCGGGCTGAGACTTTGCATGCAGGTATAAGAAGAATCATAGATGAATGTCATTGTGTATAATACAAGCCTGAGAACAAAAACTGTAGTCTACACTTCAGCTCTACACCGAAGCGAAGCGAGGGCGGGCCGCTAGTCCTATATAACCAGCTATTGCAACTGACACGATCGCAGAACCCGATCCTACTGAATCGCTTGCGACATCGAGCTCCTTAATACTAAGAGCTATTTTACTATTATTGTGAACATGTTTAAGGAAAGTTTAAAGTTAGTTTTATTCGCTCGTCTCGGGGATTGGTAGTAGGTGGCCAAGGGCTAAGGACAAACATAGATTTTGTCCTTTTTGTCTACGCAGAAGGTCTGTCAGTGAGAAGATCATATAGGAGAGGATCGAGAAGCTCCCAGAGGGCGCTGTGATCGACTACACTAGCTTCAGCGCCCCCACCACTGACTGCATCCACCACATGCTGGACAAGCTGGTGGGGCATACATCTCCCCTATGAATGGAAAAAACATGAATAAATAAAAATATTTTCAACACTCACACCAATTAGCCCAGCCCCAAAGTTAGCACTGTAAGGCTTGTGTTATGGGATACTAGGGTAACGGATAGAATACATGTACTGTACATAGATAAGTATATTTATATATAAATACATATTAAACATCCATGACTGGAGTACAAATGCTCGTATTCATCAAACAAACATCTGCCCCCGCCGGGATTCTAACCCGGAACCTCTCGAGTCGGCGATACCATGAAACCCGGCGTACAAACCACTCGGCCACGGAGGTCGTCAAATAAGAGAGGCAAAATATTGGGCTATTATCCACCACGCGGGCCCGTGGGTGCTAACGACTGCAGATGCAGCCGGTAGCCAAGATCAACGGCTAAACGTGTCCTCTGAAACTGGTTGAGTTCGTGCTGGTAAATTTCTGGTCACCCTTCCGATGACGGGCTATTGCGAAAGTTGATTAACTTTCAATTTTGATGATCGCAGGCCGAACTTACTTATCACTTGCGCCATCGAGCTTATCCTGAGCTTTTAAGTCATTTTCATCGTAAAGACTTTAAAAGAGAATTTAGTTTCCTGTTTTCTCACGACTACTGGAGCTGGTCGTAGTTTGTTAAGAAAAATGTAGATTTTTAATAATAACTAGTGGCCCGCCCTCGCTTCGCTTCGGTGTAGAGCTGTAGTGTAAACTATAGTTTTTGTTCTTAGGCTTGTGCTATAAAGAATGACTTTATTTATATAATTACACGTGTTATTGTGAGTCAACCATAAAAGATAGATATGCTGTTGCGGGATATTTTTTAGACAATTTTATGTAGAATATTTCCGTCATATATGATTTCTATGTAACTTTAACCATTAAGGCTGCACCCGCGGCGGAAGCTTAAAAAATGGAGTAACTTCTCCCGTTTTCCCAACATTTTCCTTCACTACTCTGCTGTTATTGATTGTAGCGTGATGAAAAGTATACTATAACCTGCCCAGGAGTATTCGTTAAAATCCGTTGAGTAGTTTTTGTTTCTATAAGGAACATACACACAGACAGACAGACAGACAGACAGACAAAAATTTTACTGATTGCATTTTTGGCATCAGTATCGATCACTAATCACCCCCTGATAGTTATTTTAAAAATATATTTCATGTACAGAATTGACATCTCTACAGATTTATTATAAGTATAGATAATAATTTAATTTATTTGCCAAAATACAGTTCACAAGTTGATACATTTTATGGAAGTAATTACATGTATTCTACCTGCAGGCAGGTGTGCAAATATTGCAGTCAGCTATTTTGTCATCTGTCATATATTCCTTAATACTATAATAACATCTTTTATTGTAACCATTTCGCCCTTTTCTTCACACAGAGGGTCCGTCAGTGACATGGGAGAAGATCGAGAAGCTTCCAGAGGGTGCTGTGATCGACTACACCAGCCTCAGCACCCCCACCACGGACTGCATCCACCACATGCTGGACAAGCTGGTGGTGGTCAAGTTGAACGGTGGTCTCGGCACCTCGATGGGATGCAAGGGACCCAAGTCCGTCATACAAGTCAGAAATGAGCTCACCTTCCTGGATTTGACTGTGCAGCAGATTGAGGTAAAGATTTAACAAATAAATTATACCTAAAGATAAGTTTTTAATAGAAAAAAAACCACACGGACCAGGCAGCAGACGGGACTCGAACCCGCACCCTTCGCAATCCGGGCGAATGCACTGACCAATTATGCTACCGCGCCCCTGATGACCGCGTCGAAATTTTCCTATACTTTAGCTGCAAGGTAGCGCCATCTCTTCGCATTGTAGGTAACCCACAATGTCAAATGAATACTTTTTCAAGTATTAAATGTTTGAAACAAGAAATAGCATTTGTAGTTATGTTTTTATTTTTTTAAGCATTTAACTGCTAGATGTTTAAATCTAAAGAAAAGTTTTTAATAGAAAAAAATCCACTCGGACCAGGCAGCAGGCGGGACTCGTACGCACCCTTCGCAATCCGGGCAAATGCACTGACCAATTATGCTACCGCGGCCCTGATGACCGCGTCGAAATTTTCCTATTCCTATAATTGGTCAGTGCATTCGCCCGGATTGCGAAGGGTGCGGGTTCGAGTCCCGCCTGCTGCCTGGTTCGTGAGGATTTTTTCTATTAAAAACTTTTCTTTTGATTTAAACATCTAGCAGTTAAATGCTTAAAAAAGACATAAATAAATTATAGTTTCATGTACATGTGTTACAGTCCTACTTAGTGTTACCCCCACATTTACATTTTCTCCCCACAAAACCTCCTTGTTCCTCAAAAAACATATTTGGGGAAATGTGTACTTTTTATAATGATTTTTCACTCTCTCTTTCTAGAGACTTATCAATTTTGTGCAGGTATTGCGCAGTCCATCTATCTTAATATATATAAATCTCGTGTCACAATGTTTGTCCTCAATGGACTCCTAAACCACTGAACCGATTATAATAAAATTCGCACACCATGTGCAGTTCGATCCAACTTGAGAGATAGGATAGTTTAAATCTCAAATTATAGTCGCAATTTTAATTTATTGCAAATTATTACTTTTGGGCGGTACGAAGTTCGCCGAGTCAGCTAGTATATATATAAAACTCAAAGGTGACTGGCTGACTGACATAGTGATCTATCAACGCACAGCCCAAACCACTGGACGGATCGGGCTGAAATTTGGCATGCAGGTAGACGTAATGACGTAGGCATCCGCTAAGAAAGGATTTTGATCAATTCTACCACCAAGGGGATAAAATAGGGAATGAAAGTTTGTATGAATATAATACAAGCCTGAGAACAAAAACTGTAGTCTACACTTCAGCTCTACACCGAAGCGAAGCGAGGCCGGGCCGCTAGTGTTCTATATATATGAAGGAACTAAACTAAAGCAGGTGTATTAACGTTTGTATTGTTATCATCACCAGCATCTGAACAAAACGTACAAGTGCAACGTCCCGTTGGTTCTGATGAACTCCTTCAACACTGACGAGGATACACAGAAGGTGATCCGCAAGTACCGCGGCCTCAAGCTGGACATCCATACCTTCAACCAGTCCTGTCATCCTCGCATCAACAGGGAATCTCTCCTGCCCGTAGCCAAGACAGGAGATATCCATGACGATATTGAAGCGTAAGATTTATTTATTAATATTAATGCTAGGTGGTCATTCCCACCTTCAACCAGTCCTGTCATCCTCGAATCAACAGGGAATCTCTCCTGCCCGTAGCCAAGACAGGAGATGTCCATGGCGATATTGAAGCGTAAGATTTATTTATTAATATTCATGCTAGGTGGTCATTCCCACCTTCAACCAGTCCTGTCATCCTCGCGTCAACAGGGAATCTCTCCTGCCCGTAGCCAAGACAGGAGATGTCCATGACGATATTGAAGCGTAAGATTTATTTATTAATATTCATGCTAGCTGGTCATCCACACCTTCAACCAGTCCTGTCATCCTCGCATCAACAGGGAATCTCTCCTGCCCGTAGCCAAGACAGGAGATATCCATGACGATATTGAAGCGTAAGATTTATTTATTAATATTCATGCTAGCTGGTCATCCATACCTTCAACCAGTCCTGTTATCCCAGGATCAACAGGGAGTCTCTCCTGCCCGTAGCCAAGACGGGAGATGTCCATGACGATATTGAAGCGTAAGATTTATCTATTAATATTTATGATAGCTGGACATCCACACCTTCAACCAGTCCTGTCATCCTCGCATCAACAGGGAATCTCTCCTGCCCGTAGCCAAGACAGGAGATATCCATGACGATATTGAAGCGTAAGATTTATCTATTAATATTCATGCTAGCTGGTCATCCACACCTTCAACCAGTCCTGTTATCCCAGGATCAACAGGGAATCTCTCCTGCCCGTAGCCAAGACGGGAGATGTCCATGACGATATTGAAGCGTAAGATTTATCTATTAATATTTATGATAGCTGGACATCCACACCTTCAACCAGTCCTGTTATCTCAGGATCAACAGGGAGTCTCTCCTGCCCGTAGCCAAGACAGGAGATGTCCATGACGATATTGAAGCGTAAGATTTATATATTAGCTGGACAGTCACACCTTCAACCAGTGGCGGACTAACAGGGGGGCGGAAGGGGCGGCCCGCCCCGGGCCTCCGATCTTGGGGGGCTCCCAAATGCCTCCGCGTTCCCCTGATCAAATCCTAAACTAGACTTTAAAAATGTGCTTAGTACCTTCATAATTTCATCAAGATCAAAACACTACAGCCATCTAGACTTTTTACGCGGTACTAATATTCTTTTTACTTCGCTGAACGCGTCCAATACGCTGGGGGAATTCCCGTCTCTGTAGCGGGTACTTCCGCAAGAATCCCTGAATGAATGAAGTACAAATAATTCACTCTTGTACGCCTACATTTATTAACATTCACTATATTTACGTCGAAAAATAAACATTGGCCTCATTTAAAATCCGTTCAAAGTAACCTCATTAAAAAGTGTAATATGTAGTGTTTTTGATTTTTGTTGCGGTATGAAAGTAAATGAGTTTAGAGTTGAGTTAGTGCATTTTTAATTATTTGGAAAAAGTAAGTAATTCTTCGTATAATTTAGCCTACAAATCTAGTTGAAAACCAGCGTCAGCTCATTGAGCTGACACAATGCTGAACTTTGATCCTTTTTGGCGCAGGCAGGCACTTTCAAGTTTGCATTATTTACCTCTTTTTTGTTTGTTTTTTGTAATACATTTTATTTTCTTTTGTTACTTATAGATATTCATTTAAATAATTTCATGTAAATTGAAAATGTACCTACCTATTTTAAGCCTACTGTGTCAAATAAAATTATTTTTGTTTGTTTAGAAATCATAATCCGTGTTTTCTGGTCAATATGCACCTACGTTTCTAGTCAATATGTATAGTAAGTACATTGTAGCTATGTATGTTTATTTAGCCGAAATAATTTAATTAGAATTTAAATTTCATTTGCCGCCCCGGGCCTCTGACGAGCTTAGTCCGCCACTGCCTTCAACAACCAGTCCTGTCATCCAGGCATCAATAGCGGGGGGCGGTACGGCGGGCACTAGGCCGCGTATTCAGCCCCCACGCGAGGGCCATTCTGCGCACGTCTGCGGGGTCCCCGCAATACCTCCGGAGACCCCTGCCGTGGAGCCCCGGCAAGGCCGGGAGGCTGCTGGGTGCGGAGACGCGGAAGAATCCCTGAACGGGGATCCCGCGGCTTCTCACTAAGCAGTTTAGAGGGTATTCGCAGGGTTTTTTAGCGGATATTATGCCGTAAAGCGCCAGTAAGAGTTACGGGGTCCTCAGTGGGCGGCCACTGTGGGGGCTCATAAGGTTTGCGGGAGCCAGTTGTGAGGTCCGTTCGGGGGTGTGCCTCTTAAAGGCGCCGTCGTTTGTAAACAGAGTTTTTGCCTGCGTTACAAAAAAAGGCATCAACAGGCCAAGACAGGAGATGTCAATGACGATATTGAGGCGTAAGAGTTATCTATTACTAATTATAAGAAGAGAACATTTTAAATCTAAAAGTAGATGGACATTTACACCTTCAACTAGTCCTGCCGTCCTTGGATTAACAGGATATCCCTCCTGCTAGTAGCTAAGACTTGCATGATGATATTGAGTCGTAAGATTTGTTTTGTGAATTGATATTAGAGTTTGCATAGAGCAACACGGAAGGAAGTAGCCATAGCGACATAATACCTAATTCAAATCATTTTGCCATTTTTAGTGGGGGGAATATGCACACGAACGCAGTCTCACGTACTCCCATTAAAAAAACAAAACTATAACTACGACACTCACACATAAACAATAGCACAATACATCGCCATATACTTACACATGTATCGTTTGTATGGCCAACTCGACAGAGGGAAAGGCTGTGTATGCCTACTCACTTCCTGGCCGCGTCGCTCTATGCTGGTTTTTTAAAACAATTATATATTAAGCATTAAACAGTTAGATTTATGAACCTAAAGAAAATTTTACTACCATCCATCCATGCAGCATGATCCAGTCGTGCGAATCAAACTTAATGGCGGCGAAGTTAGCGCAAGTCGCGGCGCACAGTAAATAAAATGTAGATTGATGTTGGCGCGAGCGCGATGTCATTTAACTGAAACATCACTGATAACTTCACAGCCGCCATAATGTTTGAATCCTACATTTCTTATAGGTTTTTAAACGTACACCTATGTAAAAATGGATAATATTTAAATAATCCTTAAAAAAATAGTAAATGATCACCTAAAATACAATTGGCAAACTGAAGGAATCATTTAAATATGTGCCTTTAAAGATGTCTCCAATACATAACCCTCTTCTCTTCAACGTTCAGCTAAAAATCGATAATTCATATTTCCTCACTCATCCAAGGTTTCTTTCCACCGACAGCTGGTATCCACCCGGCCACGGCGACTTCTACGAGTCATTCCACAACTCCGGCCTATTACAGAAATTCATCGCCGAAGGCAGAACTTACTGCTTCATCAGCAACATCGACAATTTAGGCGCAACGGTAGACCTCAACATCCTGAACTTACTCCTAAACCCAGATCCTCAGCGGACAATCTCAGAATTCGTTATGGAAGTGACTGATAAGACCAGGGCTGACGTGAAGGGAGGAACTTTGATTCAATACGAGGATAAACTGAGGTTACTGGAAATAGCACAAGTCCCCAAAGAACACGTGGATGACTTTAAATCCGTCAGCCAATTCAAGTTCTTCAACACGAACAATTTGTGGGCGAAATTGGACGCTATACAGAGAGTTGTAGATCAAGGATCCTTAAACATGGAGATAATTGTAAACAATAAGCATTTAGCTGATGGTTTGAATGTTATCCAATTGGAGACTGCAGTCGGAGCTGCAATGAAATGCTTCGATGGAGGCATTGGTGTGAATGTGCCTAGAAGCCGATTCTTGCCTGTGAAAAAGACCTCAGATTTGCTTCTGGTGATGTCGAACTTATATAGTCTATCCCATGGATCCTTAGTGATGTCTCCGCAAAGGATGTTCCCTACCACTCCCTTGGTGAAACTTGGTGATAACCACTTTGCGAAGGTGAAGGAATTCCTGAGTAGGTTTGCCACCGTACCGGATATAATTGAGTTGGACCATCTGACTGTCTCAGGAGATGTCACGTTTGGCAGGGGGGTGTCGCTCAAGGTGAGTTATTAGGTTTGCTTCTCTACTTCTCTTGAATAGGGTAATTGACAGTGTTAAAAATAAAGTGACAATTGTTAGCATCTGTGTTTAGAATGAATATTGGCAGGGGTTTTTGCTATTTTTACAAAAAAAAATATTCATAATTTTACTAAAAGCTAACGAAAAAGATAATAGTTTTCTTATCTACTGTCACGTGACCCAAAACGCTTGGGATTGGCGGAGCCTAAAATGACGTCACACGCAAGTAAACTTCCGGTTAAAGTGACAGTACATTGTATCGTTTGACGTTTTAATATCAGTCGTGTGACGTCATACACTAGTAAGACGCCAGCCATATTGTCCAGAGAAACGTTTTCGCGGCAACTTGAAAATGGAGTTTTTGATTTGGTTATTTTTACTGAAATACACACCAGAATGATGAATATCCACTTTTTTCGGACTCCATAAACATTAGTCAATAACGTGAGATCGTTTTCTAAAATGCAGTTGTGTTTGTATGTGATTGAATGGTAATAAGTAGACGATACTTTAATCCAAAAGGTTATAGAAAATCCTATATCGGCACAAAATTTCTCAGTATTGGCATCTATTCGTCTAATAATTGGCATTAGTTGAAAGCAGGATATAGGAATCTGCCTGGGTCCCTTACCTAGGTATTTTCTCATACCCAGGGTATAATAATTTATAAAAAAATGCTGATGATAATTGTTGTTAATGAGGATAATGATATGTAATAATTGAGGCCATTAGAATCATAAATGAAATGAAATGAAATGAAAAGTCATTTATTCAGTCTAGGCTGTTACAAGCACTTGTGAAAGTCAAGAAGCTACGCCATCGGTTCGCAAAACTACGGCGGGAGACCTTGTACTGAGAAGAACCGGCAAGAAACTCAGCAAGGGCTGCTTTTTTCTCCCTGTATTGATATATACAGAGTCGTCAAGTTGAAAAATGACTTCAGACATACTTCTGAAGTCACCTTCCATTACATTATTTAGGGTATAGATATATAGTTACAACAAATTTTATATTTAGTATATATAGGAAGCGGCATTAGATAGGTACCATACTACTGTTACAAAACTGACTCATACCCATCAAATAAGAAATTACAAGAAACACTATGTCCATGCATTACGATCATTTAGATAATCATTAACTTTATAATAGCCCTTATTCATAAGAGTATTCTTAATCTGAGATTTAAATTTGGTTAGTGGAAGCTCAATCAGATCTTGGGGAACTTTGTTAAACAATGCAATACTACATCCCAGAAATGAACCTCTAGATTTTTGGAGTCTGAAACATGGAACGGCAAGCTTGTTCTTAAATCTCGTGTTTAAGTTATGGGTTTGACTTTTTTTTGCAAATGCGTCATAGTTTCTTCTTACATATATTATATTTTCATAGATGTATTGCGATGCCAGTGTTAAAATATTAATTTCTTTAAATTTTTCTCTAAGAGATTCTCTTGCCTTTAAATTATATATGGCGCGAACAGCTCTCTTTTGCAGTACGAAAATACTTTCTATATTAGCAGCTGAGCCCCACAACAAAAGGCCATATGACATAACGCTATGAAAGTAACCAAAGTAAACCATTCTTGCCGTTTCCACATCAGTTAGGAGTCTTATTTTTTTAACAGCGAAGGCCGCAGAGCTCAGTCTACTTGATAAGGCATCAATATGAGGATCCCATTGCAGATGCGAGTCTAAAGTAATACCCAGAAACTTTGTAGAATCCACTAACTCTACAGGCTGCTCATTTATTTTTAAACTAGTATTAACCTGCCTCACATTAGGTAAAGTAAACTTAACACATTTTGTTTTGCTAGAGTTTAGTTTTAAATTATTTACCGTAAACCAGCGAAGGACTTCAGAGAGAGCAAAATTTACTTCGTCATAACAATCATTTCCTCTCCTAGCTTTAAACACTAAAGAGGTGTCATCAGCAAATAGTACTGTCTCACACAAATCTCTTGTAAAGTGAGGAAGGTCATTAATATAAATAAGGAAAAGCAATGGGCCCAATATTGAACCCTGGGGCACGCCCATAGAAATGGGTGCTCCTGTAGACTCAGCTTCATTTATAACTACTTTCTGAATCCTAGCAGAAAGATAAGACTGTATCAGACTTAGTGAAATATTTGATACACCATAATGCTTCATTTTATTTAACAATGTTTCATGGCTAACGCAGTCAAACGCCTTAGATAAATCGCAAAAAATGCCAATAGCATCGTGCTTACTCTCCATATATCAAAAATGTGTTTGAGAAGTGCAGTTCCAGCATCAGTATTACTTTTGCCTCTAGTGAAACCAAACTGTTTTAAATGAAGTAGCTTATTTATAGAAAAGTGTGCTAGTAATTGGTTATAAATTATTTTCTCAAATACTTTACTTAGCGCTGGTAATACAGATATAGGCCTAAAATTGCTGGGATCTGATATATCACCAGCCTTAAAAAGAGGCCATAGTGGCCTTACTCATTTTTTACAATATTGAGTTTATGATTTTTTCCAGTTCAAATTGATTATTTTGATTTTGAGAACCAGAGTGGTCTAAAAGTGACACAACGAATATTCACTAGATGGCAGCATAATCACTGTTACGGTTTTTAGTCTGTGATTTTAATTTGAGGTGCCATACTGGCTTTAGTAAGATAGGCCACTATGGTTAAAAAATTAGTAAGGTCACTATGGTTCTCATGGCCTCAATTAGACTAATAGATGCCAATACTGAGATTTTTTGTGTCGATATAGAATTTTCTGTAGTCTTCTGGTTTAAAGTATAGCCTAATTAATAAAATGGGGGGGCTAACTTCCCTAAGGTGTTTAGATATCGTAGAAAAGGAAATGTCTACATTGCGTTACACTGTACTTTGATATAACGAGTTAGACATAATATTAAGTTCTCATAATTAGCTTACTAATGCCCCCACTACTGGGCCGCATACCATCCCTATGAAAGGAATACCACGCGGGCCCAGTGCGGATTAGTGGGTAATAACGACTGCAACAGCCAAGACCAATGGCTCATTTGCCTTTAAAAGCACGGTACAGTGAGAGGTAATAAAATTTTGGTCACCCATCCCATACCTGGCTATTGCGGAAGTTGCATAACTTCCATTATTGGGACTTCCGCATAGGGTGACCACTGCGCCATCGATCTTCGAAATAACAATTATACATACTGTACATTGATTTTTTTAAAAAGAATACTAATACTACAATCGATACCGAAGCCAAAAATATAGTTTTTAGAATAGGCTAGTTGACCCTTTTTACCCGGCTGCGCAATGCAAGAGCGCGAAGCGCGACGCGCAGACAGGGTTATGTGTTTAACAGTCTATATATGTATGTTTGTTCCTTTGTGGCACACTAGAGACCAAACGCCTGGACCGATTTTGATGATTCATACATCAATCGATTCGTCTCAATCATGGTAGTGCTACTAAAGATATGATAGTAATCAAAATTCAATATGGGCAAAATTAGGCGCCATATCGTGACGAAGTAAAAAAAAAAAGTTGACTAAATATGTCGAATGGGGTATCACTGTCTAGATAATCAAAAATCATATTTAAGTTCCTAACACCATTTTTCATTTTATATGATTGTTTAGGATCTACAACGCTTTAAAGTTGTATATTAACCACTTGCGCTTTTAATTTCAATCTTACGATCTTTGTTACTCTTTCACCTCAAAAATACAGAATGGATTTTAATGAAACTTAACAGTAATATAGCTCATATATGATAATTACATATATATAATAATTTATGTAGTTCATGAGTGAATTGGCCAATATATAGCAATAAGTGTCACATAAGACGGAAAAAAATGTCCCATCTGCGAGCCATTTTGGCCTGCACTGCAAAAACAATAAAAGTTACATGAATGTAATGTAGAGTGAAAATGTATCTCTTAAATAGTTCTAAAAAAAGTCCGTGACACCATATATCTATTTTTAATGTGTAAGTCATTACCGCTAAAATAGTGAATCAAAACTAAAATATTATTTGATATCTATTTCCAAAATGCACATTTTGTATTAACAAATCGTTTTTATCAAAACAAATACTTTAATCGCTTTTGATATTTAAAGACGATAAACTTTGCTTTTTACACTATGTCATTTCGACAAATATTTAAAAAGTTACAACGATGACAAAGTGATAGCGCGGTGTACTATGTAAAAGAAAAAAAAATGGGGTATTCGCAGTATCTGATCCTATACGAAGTACTAATATTAAAACTGTGATACAGTTCCTTCTTATTAAATAATGAAAAATATATTATCATAATAGGTATTTATGATTATTGAATTTTAATGAAAAACTCAGAATTTTACTGTTTTTCATTTATTTTAACGATATTACTGAAGGTTACAAAAAAGGTTTACTTAATATAATGACAAATAACCCATTTTCGCTAGTAAGTACATACTTATTGGAATCCCTGTATTTATTAATCAGCTCGCGATAATATTGGTTTTGTAATAATTCTGCAAAATTCAAAGTAAATAATGTAGATTTTTATAGGTAAATCACCCCTTTCGTCACCCTACGCCTATAAGTATTGCGATGTTGTAGCTAAGAACCAAGTTCCCATCTACTTCTATATGGGAATTAAATAAAGAAAAATGTTATAATAAATAATGTAGCCACCTTATGATGAATTAATATTTGAAACCGGTTCAGTAGTTTGACAGATTATTTGTTACAAACATACAAATCTTGCCTCTTTATAATATTAGTATAGATAGTTAGGATAAGATAAGTATTTAATTGATGAAAAAGATTTAAAAATAAAGTAAGTAATAGGTTTATTTCATTATATTTGTAAAAGTTACTTAGCATTTGTGCTTAACAGTGATAGGTTATTCGGTATTTTTTTAAACAAAAAAAAATTGGAAAATAATTTCCATGATTGCACTACTGGGAGTACTCTTCATTCGAGCTTTACACTACCAATAAAAAAGGGTCGATCACAAAGTCTTTGACCTGTTATATGTGAACGCTTTAAAAGAAAACTACAAAGAGAACTATAAATTGATAATAAATGAGATTGCTATGGTGCTCTACCTAACGATAGGAAAATTTTAATATGCGCCTTTAGTTTAATCAAATATTATAAACTTTGCTTTGGTGATTGCATAATTATTTAATTTAGTGATCTAAGGCAGTTGCCACCATTGTCCAAAACAACAGACGGGAATTACTTCTTTCTTCAACCTGCGACATAAACGTCATTGATTGGTATTGTATATAGGGTGATTAAAAACATTTGAAGTTAACTTTTGGCATCTACATATTGGGTTTCTGTGAATTATCTACATAATGATGTAGTATATCAAATTATGAGACTAGGGACTGACACTAAATTTGTGTATATCACAATCTTAGACGTCCGGCATTGACATGACAATGCAGCCACTGCCAATTTTAAATAGTCGACGAATAAAAGTAATGAATTTTATATTTACTTCTAAACTATTAAAAAAAACATAAAGTCATCTTTTGACTTTTTTTGTAAGTGCTAGTTTACTATAAAATTTACATACATTAGAGATATTTATGTAACGACTTGATTTAACTTCACACATTTTTGCGAAAATTGAGGCCCATCTGTAGCCTTGACCCCGCTGGTAAAGTCTTTATATGCCTCAATAAATCAATCTTTTAGACCGACACAAGGTACTTAATAATTCCCGCGATATTAATTCCCTTACTGAAGTAAAAGACTACGGAATATACCGTCTTAAAATACTAACTAAAAAGTGTGAAATAAAAAAGGTAAATTTAAAAAATCAAAAAACCCGACTGCTTAATTATTCTTCAAATAAAAACTGAAAAGAAAAAAACAAGTCCAGTAGTCTATAATTCTGTTAATAAGGAACAAAGCTACTTTAACAGTCGGGACCCACTGTTGAAAAATATTATGTATTCTTGAATATCTAATGGGTCCCGACTGTTAAAGTAGCTTTGTTCCTTATTAACAGAATTATAGACTACTGGACTTGTTTTTTTCTTTTCAGTTTTTATTTGAAGAATAATTAAGCAGTCGGGTTTTTTGATTTTTTAAATTTACCTTTTTTTGAAAAAGGTTTTAAATGGTTAATAAATGTTCTATTAGACCGAAAAAAAAGTATTGTATTTTTTTGAGACCTAAAAAGCTACAAATCTTTAATTTTAAAATAGATTTTTCGTGGACATACAAAAACGCTGTCGGCCATTTTAGTCTATAGATTATCTATGCTATGACGTTAACTGCAGTAAACACATAACATAAAGGTAAATAAACAAAAACTCGTAAGCACGTAGAAAATAACTTAACTGACTTTATAATAATCAAAAGATGATTTCTAATAAATACCCCGAAAAATAAAATAATTATCATTATTGTATTGTACGAGAATATAAAAACACATCCTTGAAGAGAAGAAGTTGTGGATTAAAAGTGCCGAAAGAAATTAACCTACGCAACTTTATTACACTTATTCATATGTTGTATCAGTTTTATGTTTATTACTACATTGTAATACTAAATACACTGTACTTACATAGATGCCTTGTCGTTTCTCTGCTCCGCAGAGCAGAAATCGGGGTTTAGTGCAATAAATTCACCAACCATGAATGCGTCAATTCTTGGCAGATTTGTGCTTTCTGTTCACATAGCCGGCATCCATAATTAGTTTTTTCAAAAAAAAACAGTAAACGGAAACTTTTCTAAAGTTAAAAGTGTTTTAAGATAAATTTAGTCAGACGAAAGAATCCACCCACAATAACACGCGAATGACATTTAGTTGATTACCATAAGAGACGTCACAATCATGGCGGATGTGGCGGATAGCGTTTTTAGTGTTTAGAAAATATAGACTAAAAAATATTTTTTTAAATTAAATTTCTACAGCAATCTTCTGGTTTTATGAAGTGAAATCGATATATTTAGGTTCCTTAGACCAAATACTTTAATAAATAAACATTTATTTAATACAATTCGACATGAGTCAACTAGCCTATTTTTGTCTGTTTGTCTGTATGTATAATATCCGGGATAAACTCGAAAAGTACTGCATGGATTTACTTCAAATTTGGTACGAATATTATTAAGAAGTCGGGTCAACATATAGGCAACATATTATCACGCTATCACCTACGGGGAACGAGCAGTGAACCTTTATTTCTAACTAACTCCACGCGTACGAACTCGCGGGCGGCTGCTAGTATTGAAAGTAATTTTCCTGAAAATTACTTTATTTAAATCTAAGATTACTTAATCTTATGCTATACTACTTATATATTAGTAAATCAACTATGTGCTTTATTTCCAGGGCACAGTGATCATAATCGCAAACCACGGTGATAGGATCGACATACCATCGGGTGCTCTCCTAGAAAACAAGATTGTATCCGGAAACCTACGTATATTGGATCACTAGAAGAATATAGCAATATGAACTTTATTTGTAGACGTCATACAGTTGATAATAGCACAAGAGTGAACGGTCTTAGAAAATGTATACTCGGTTCTAGGTGTATTTCTTTTTTGCAATCCATCAGTGATCTTTTTTAACCTTAAAGATATTTTATATGAGTATTTATTTATACAAAGTATTTTTTCTTATTTACATATCACATTTTATTTATAAGCATAAATTCTGTTTAAGTATATGATGTGACAATAACGAAAAGTTTCACGTAAAAAAAAATATTTAAATAATCACAAAAACGCTTTGTTTTTTTAAATATTAAAATTATTAAAATTATATTAATCGGCAATGGCAAAAGATTACTTAAGCGTTTGAAGATAAAGTTTGTTGTTCTTTAAAAATTTAATACCAAATATTGGCCGCTGTTTTTTATTAATAAAATTAACAAAATTTTAATAGTAGTGTATTTTTATTTTGATTTGGTTAAAATAATTACAGTGTTGTAAAATTAACTTCGAAAAGTTTAATAAATCATATTATATACATAACATAAGAATAAATTAATATTAAAATAAAATTTTATTGCCAACGATTAAGATTGTGTTCCTTTTTTATGAATTTTTACTTAATTAATAAGTACAATTTTTATTAAATATGTATATTATATATTTATTATTATTATACGTATGTTTTAGAAAAACATGATTGTTGAAAAATGTGTGCCATTCATTTGTCATTGGTTATTTTTGTTGATGAATATGTGCATTATGTTGTTATAATTTTTTAAATTATTATTAAAAGAGACGGAATTTAGACATGTTTTATTTTTATTATATTTTCTATGCGTTTGTACTTAGTACCTACTTACTATGTTAACTCGTGAAAATTGAGCGAAATTACTTTGTGATAGATGGATTGAAGAGTGCTGGCTTTGGCATAGCGGATTTCCCCGCTTGAATTCAAGCGCCTGTCTGGCAAAATTCCACATTTTTTATAGATAGGTCCGGCAAATGACTCAAACCCACCTGATGTTAAGTGGCGGTGTAGTCCAGACGCGAAGATAGCTGATACAGCAGTTCTTCCTGCCATACTAGCCATCCTCACCTTGCCGGACTGCATGTTGCTTCTTCACGCCTCTTTTAAAGGATCCCAGGTTGTAAGAGGGAGGAAATACTTGAGCAGGCATATATGGCAACTAGATGATGCCATAGGATTTCAAGGTTGTTAAGAGCCCTTTTACAAAATTACGCCGGTGCCATACTGATCGGCGCGTTGCACAGTGGTCCGGATTTTGAATATAGTGGTCGTAGGACCCAAGGTTAATATTTCGCGCTGAAAAAATTCATGCGGACAGATAAGTAAACGCTCATCAACTTTTGTTCTAGCAGTTTTCATGTAATGTATGTAATTTATATGTAATTTCATGGAAAGTATAATACTAATATATAATTGTCTATATCAACACAGACATCAAATTACAAAATAAAATCATTATTGAAAATTGCTTTTTGCCTCTTTTTTACAATAGAATGTAATCATCGAAGGTGGTTTATACTTTTAATTTTAAAAATTATAAATAAGTACACTTAAACAAGAATAATAAAAACATAATAAAATGGTACAAGTAAACTAAACATACAAAATAATACAAAGTAATAAATTAATATAAGAAAAGTTAAAAATCATTCCAAAGGATCTGGCACATTTTGTGGAGCTTCTATTTCTTCATCTTCAACTTTTATTATTTCTTCTGTTATTAATAACTGCAACGCTTCTGGAAACAAACTTGATGATTTAAAATTGGCATATTTAGATTTCAGATGAGATATATATGGATCTGAAGATATCAAATTGTGTATAATATCTTCATTATTTTGAAAGCTCCCTGTTTTTCTCGTGTGGCGCTCTCTGGTATTTCGGAAGTCCTTATTTCTTGCTTCTGCTGCTTCTTCTGACAAAATTCCTATGGGAACACAAGAGAAATGTTTGCATATGTCTGCGCCATGTATCAGCATTGTGTACGATGATGCGAGCAAAAACTTCTTTTCCATTAGACTTTTGTGAAAAAAGCAAAAGTCAGTTCCTCTTCCGGATAGTCAAGTAATGTACCCGATCGCCTTTTCTTTTGATTATTTCCTAGGTCTTCAAATGGCTTTCTTGATACGATATCTGCAGAAATGCCCATGTCAATAGTCGCCTTCAAAGTAGATGCAAAGGGTAAAACCGCTGCTTCTTCTTCTGTGGAACGATGATCCAAATTTTCGACCTCTTCAAAAATGTCGGAGAGATTCACGGATTCGCATTCAGGCCACTTAATTCTTGTTTCTAACCAGCTCATATGCTTTTTCATGAATGTTTTTTGCACCCTGTGTGCTTCGGTCCATCTACGATTTAAGTTGACAGTGAGAGATCTTGCAAAATTCTAAATGTTTTTCAGAATCTTCTTGCGAAATTTCAAGCAAAATGCAGTCCAAAATTGCTTGATGCAGTCATTTGTAGTCCTTGTAAGTACCAAATCCAGCCATGATTAAGTAGGTAGTTTTCTTCAGGTTAAAATTTCCAGGTATTCTTCAAGATTTAAATATCTATTGACGCTCCAGCCGGACCTCCCACCTGTTTTATTTCGGTCTTAACGAGAAAGAGATAGTATTAGTAGAAAATGAAAGAGAGCAATATTAGGCAATGGGAGGGGGAAATTAGCAGCCAATACGTCATTCGGTCACTAACTGCGCTTTGGGTAACAGCGATATCCACTAAGAAGTAAAATATGAAAATAATTTGTATCTACTTTTCGAAATCATTTTAATTTAGGAAATAATGCATTTTAAAGTTTATAATATTGAAAATATACGAAAATTATGTTACTATAAATGATTAAAAACGTTTTAATGACACAAATAGTTAAAATTAAAAAATTGTAACTTCTGATGCCTATTTCGGCCAAGGCTGCAAGTGCATGCAAAAGATTTGATGGTAAAATTAATAAATGAATGTAATACAATAATTTACAAATAGTTTCATTGCTAACACTTTTAAACATTTCGAGAAAAAAAAATATTTCAGTTTTGCTCCATACATTTTTTTCTTAAATATTTTTTTTTCGCGAAAATATACGATTACATGAAAACTGCTAGAACAAAAGTTGCTGAGCGTTCACTTATCTGTCCGCATGAATTTTTTTAAGCGCGAAATATTAACCTTGGGTCCTACGACCACTATATTCAAAATCCGGACCACTGTGCGTTGGTAGATTTGCACTAATAATATTGCGTTTTACTGGTGAAGTTTCGAGTCTTATAAAATAATTATTTATGAACTAATTATAAAAATATATACATATTTCAGTAGTTCAATGATGGTAGATTAGTTTTATGAAAGTTTTTGATAGTGATTCTATTTAATTTAATATCAAAATACGAGGTAAACCTGCATTATTTTTTGGGAAAACTCACGGAGGTTAGATTTCTTTTTTGTTAATTAATGAGATGGAAATTCAAAATTCTAATACATAACGTTACAACAAGAACATATTTCTGATGTCGTAGTAATTAATTTGATGTAATTTATTGAACATTATTTAGAGATTCAGGCGTTTGAAGTTGTGCGTATTATCGTTTTTTCCGTAAACTAGCTGCGGTAGAACGATCAGTACAAAAAAAGGAAAATAGTATTTGCAAATATTCTACATTAACTTACAATAGGAAAAATAAATCTACTGTTAACTTCTATTGGAAATAGTCAAAATCTTTTCTAAGGGAGTAAACGAGGCGCTCAAAAATAACGATTTTTTGTGAAAAATGTGAAAGTGCTCTTAATTTAAATTTGAATTAAGACGACTCGTGGCCTAATGATTGGACAGCTGTACTCACAGAGTAAGTAGTAATTAATGCATTCATACTATTGATTGTTATCGCAAAGTAAATGACAATCAATTTAAGTCTTGACAAGTTATTTTTTGGGATCTCTGAGTGCGCTTGCAAGATACCTTAATCAGTAACCGGTAGATACTTTATCTTTGTCAAAAAAATCATAAAAGATATTTATTTTAAAAAAGGCTTCGAAAAAGCTCTTTTACACATCCCAGTGGATTTTATTTCTCTACCAGTGCTTCCGGACTATAAATGGGCTGTCTGTTTGTGATGATATCGGTTGCTTTCCAATTACAGCATTATAGCGCATTATGCGGCATAATGCTTAACGTTGAGTGTTCCAACTACAGCAACGCTTCGCACAATTCAGCACTCTCAATCTTTTTTTTCAACACTGAACTTAGCGCACTCTGCTTTCAAATGCACCAGCAGAGTGCGCTAAGTTCAGTGTTGAAAAAAAAAGTCAATGTTTGTACCTTCATCCATACTTATATTTATTTTTTAACAGTTTGAATGAACTTTGATTATTCAAAAAAAAAATATTTAATGAAACGAAAGCTTTAATAATTTTTCAACAATAAATAATATTACAAACGAAAACATATAAATAAAACATTTCGATCAATGCCAACTTAAAGAAAAAACACTTGTTAATTTTCTGTCTCTAAGTTGGTACGATTGCACGCATCACACGAAAGCATCACTTTTGAGAGTGCTCAATTGTGCGAAGCGTAGCTGTAATTGGAACACTCAACGTTAAGCATTATGCCGCATAATGCACTATAATGCTGTAATTGGAAAGCAACCATCAATAACTACGGTTTTTTTGTCGGTTTTTACCATCTCTCTCTAAAAAGAGTTAGTATGCTCTTGTTGGTGCAGTCTATGGATCCCCCGCCATCTTCCTCTGTTCTCCGCCAACTCTGAGAACCCTGTACGACTCGACGCCAACCTTTTCCTTAATTTACTTATTGTAGGCTGTCCTCACTTTCCTTCCACTTTTCCCTCAATGATGTTCTTTATGAATTCGTCGTGTCGCACAAGGTGGCCGAACATTCTTCCCCTTCTGTACTTACCCCTAGCACGAACCAATATCGAATTCGTATCGTTTGCGAGTCCGAAATGTCATTGTCAAATGTGTACTGATTTTTAGTTCTCGTTACGTACTTTGTGCCGCTGCTGTTCAAGTTTCCATACAAAATTTGACATTGAAATTTCGGTTTGCAAACTATTCGAATTCGATAATGGTTCGTGCTAGGGGTACTGTTCTCCAGGGTGTCGAGCAAAGCTCTCCGTTTATCCACAGTGTCCAATACCCTTTCATTTGTCAGTTTCTCGGTCCAACTCGGTTTTTACCATACGTTAACTAAAATGTTTATGGCTGTATATCATGCAAGATTAAATATATAATTAAACCTATTCCCTTACACTCTTACTCCCATCCTTTAAACCATTTATTTATTTTCTGTTTCGTTTCCTTTCCTCTCCTCTTTCGCCTTTCACTATTATTAAACCGTCCTCTCCTCTCCCTGTTTTTCCCACCCATTCGACCTGCCAGGCTGCATCTCGACGCGGCCTCGGATTCTGATGGGGCTACTACACCAACTATCGAATCCTCTACATCATAATTATGTTATATTAGTCAAATTATAATGTAATAAATAAACAAGTGTTAAAAAAAAAACTAAAATGTTTAGAACTTGAAAACGAAACCTACAATCTAGCGAGGAAACGAAGTGATGAATTAGTCGTTAATTAATAATACTAAGAGAAATAAGACGACATGTAAAAAAGTATTTGTTTTATTAAGATATATATACAAAAATAAGTTAGTTACATTTCTAAAATTACACTATTCATTATAACAGACGAGTGGATAGAGTAACAGTTTTTGCAATAACACAATACCTACTGGTGTCGATTCTGGCGTGATTCTCTAAACATAAAACTAAATTTAACATCAATCTCTCCTTTTCATTCCATATAGCGAATGACAAGGATACACTGTTGTCAAATTTAAGTTTAGGTTTAGAGAATCGTGTCAGAATTGACACCACTGTCGTATCAAGTGACGTTTTGATTGATGTTGGTGCATAAACTTTTTAAAATAACTTTATAATTAAGAGTTCACGGCGATATTTTCACCCGCGCCCGCCGCGGCTGCGGGAAAGTTGTTTCATTACAAAACTCATGAGACAGCAGTTTTCTTGAATTCAGTACCTATAGCACGAACCAATATCGAATTCGATTAGTTGGCGAGTGCGAAATTTCATTGTCAAATGTGTACTGTGCCCCTAGCACGAACCAATATCGAATTCGTATCGTTTGCGAGTCCGAAATGTCATTGTCAAATGTGTAT